TTGTTATATGTCGCATTATTTGTGTTTCATTTATATTTAAAATAAATCTATGAGGCCTAGCACCAGCCTTTATGTGGAGACTAAAATATAGTTCTTGGCTTCTTTTAAATACATGTTAATTTCTATTAACGTACTCTCAGGAAACATGTATAAAATCGTGTTCATTGTATCACATCTTTGATCAAAGCCAGACGCAGCGCCTGTGATCAAACACCAGTTGATAGACCACCTATGATCAAAGACCCTCTGCTGAGAAAACACATGTGGTCAAAGCCCCGCTGTGGTAAAACCCCCTATGGTCAGAGCCCCTATGGTCAAAGCACCGCTATGGTCAAAGCCCCGCTGTGGTCAAAGCCCCTATGGTCAAAGCTCCGCTGTGGTCAGACCCCCTATGGTCTAACCTCCTATGGTCAAAGCCCCTATGGTCAAAGGTCCGCTGTGGTCAAACCTCCTATGGTCTAACCTCCTATGGTCAAAGCCCCTATGGTCAAAGCTCCGCTGTGGTCAGACCCCCTATGGTCTAACCTCCTATGGTCAAAGCCCCTATGGTCAAAGGTCCGCTGTGGTCAAACCTCCTATGGTCTAACCTCCTATGGTCAAAGCACCTGTGGTCAAAGGTCCGCGCACCAGAGCTGAAATAAATTTGGGATTGCAGAGAATTAAAATGATACAAATTTTAAGCAACCGGAAAAGTTATGTTATTACAATGAGACACAATAAAACATTCTTCCCTTTCTAACATCTATATCTATAGCAGTCCTCCCACATTTATTTTTATTTTTATTTGTTTTAAACATTTAAATAGTAATAATAATATATTTGATGGTTTTACACAGCTTCAAAGACATGAAAATCAATTGTATATACAGTAATTAAATAGAGAAAATAAAATGGCACAAGAACTAGACCAGGGGTCGGCAACCTGCGGCTCGCGAGCCGCATGCGGCTCTTTCGATATCAAGATGCGGCTCTCCAGCTCCTTGCAAAAATATTAATAATCTTAATAAAAAAATAAAATATTTGAAATAAAAAAAAATTTAGTGGCTCTTTAAAACCAGGGAAACTTTGAAAATTGTAACTTTTGGCTCTTCCGCTTCAAAAGGTTGCCGACCCCTGAACTAGACCAATAGAATGTGTGCAACACGGTTTCTTTTGACTGCTTAGTTTACTGTGCTTCATCCTCAGCTGCGATGTCAAAAGTTCTCGTTGTAGCCGCCATTGGATAGAAATAGAATCAGAAACGACCGTTGGAGCTAGGTCTCTGTATTTCTCATACTGATTGAATTCGAATTGAAATTTCAAGTCTCTAGAAAATTGAAAAAAAAACCTAACAAACATTGCTAGAGGACACTTTATAAAGCTAATTACAAGTTAGAAAATTATGGTGTTACAAAGTAGAACATAGATTAAAGATTAATTTGCTATTTATTTTAAAGTTAATTAATTAAAACTCACTAAATAACAAAAAAGTAACTAAAATATAAGTAATGTTTTTTCTGTTTAATTATCATTTTTCAAAAAACATTATTTAAATTTGAAGTGTTAACCTACTTTAATGATTACGGGTAATTATACTACACAAACCCATGTAATGAGTAAGTTAACGCGAAGATCAAATGTTGCATATGATGGTGTGAAATTTTCTATCTGAAATGGTTAGAAAACGGCATATTTTAACCGAAGTAAAATATTTGATAATCAATACTTTGATATAAAATACTTCTTTTATTTCTTTTATACTATTTTATTTTTTTGCGCCTAGTCAAAGAGCGGTGGAAATTAAAATGTTTAGTTCCTAACACTTTTAGGCCTATTAAACAAATACAGTTGTGTGTAACAACTCGTATATGATCCGCAGTTGTTATTGTTTAATTTTTAACAACCAATTATGAAATTTCTGTGAATATGTTAATATACCAGGTGCCCACGGCACCATAGCTATCTCCTTACCGGATATCAACATTTTGTCACAACTGCAAATGGTCGATCTAATCCAAGTCAATACAAGTAACTAATGCATGACCATAAGGCTTGTCTGTAGTTCCCTTATCATAGTTCTTAACAATAACAGCTTTTCTCTCCGCATATACTCCACCAAGGAACAACGCCACTTTTCCAGGTATCATAAATTTACCCATGTTAAGAAATAAACATTTATAGTTTCTAAAATTTTCCAGATATCATAAATTTACCCATGTTAAGAAATAAACATTTATAGTTTCTGAACTTTTCCAGATATCATAAATTTACCCATGTTAAGAAATAAACATTTGTAGTTTCTGAACTTTTCCAGGTATCATAACTTTATCCATGTTAAGAAATAAACATTTGTAGTTTCTGAACTTTTCCAGGGATCATAAATTTACCCATGTTAAGAAATAAACATTTATAGTTTCTGAACTTTTCCAGATATCATAAATTTACCCATGTTAAGAAATAAACATTTGTAGTTTCTGAACTTTTCCAGGGATCATAAATTTACCCAAGTTAAGAAATAAACAATTATAGTTTCTGAATTTTTTCTTTTTTGTGGCTTTTGAAAATAAACAATACATGACAACGTTTGCCTTTCTTTCACTCTACAGCTCAGGCATATATATATATATATATATATATATATATATATATATATATATATATATATATATATATATATATATATATATATATATGCAACAGCTTGTGTTAGATACTGTATAGCATCACTACAGTAGTAGAAATGTTTGTTATTTACAAAAGCTTTTACCATCAAGTCAAAAATGCAAGAAAATTATTTATCATTGTCGGCTATAGGCCCTAAATGGCGTGGCGCCCCCCCCCCCCCGCATTGCGGGGTCTGGTGGCACTGTAGTTCCGCCCCTGGTTCGTAGATTGGAAAGCATGTATAGTGGACTAGGGCTCTATTATCATCACTGACCCTATTAACAGCTAAATATAAACAAAAAAGGATAGCTCAGAATTAATTGTGTGTAATACATGTAATTGACCTGGATCCCCCACCCAAAGAAAAAAAAATTAAGAAATAAAACATCTGTTTTTTTATATATGTAGGCCCTATATCAGGATGATCCAATATGTTAGCTAGTTTATTTTGTTGAGCTGGTCTGGTTGTAAGGGTTAGAGTTAGTATTAGCATCCCTAAAATATCTAGTTTAGTTGTATTATTTACTTTTGTATGACCATCACGTCTTAAACCTTGTATAAAGTTAGAGAACAGATAGCAGCTGTAACTGAGTTTTGTTCCCCTGCTATTTGGCCGTTTTAATGAAAGTACTCATTCATTAATAAACAAATAGAATCACATTTCTAGTTGGATAAAATAAATCCTAGATGTTCTGGTGAATGAATACAAAAATGATAGTGGAAGAAAAAAACACGTCATAAGAAATCTTATTATTGCAATTATTTGTCAGTCTTCACTAACCGATGACGACATAACTAACATAAAAGCGAATAATCTGCAGTGCAGAAAGACACAGAACATTACAGGTTGGAGGTAGAAATAAAAATCATTCATGTAATCTATGTATTTTTATTTCTCGAGTTACATAAGGTAAATAACCGATAAAATCTTTGGACAGAGCAAGTACACAGAGTTACCTCCTTTATTTTTTTTTTAACTTACATATGTTAATTTAAATATTCCCTTTATTCTGCCCTATTGATGTTGTGCTATACTATATTTCTTACTTATTTATGAAATAAACATATATCAAATAAGCCTTAAAGTGTTGTATAAATCGAATGTTACTAAAACGCCATTTTCCACAATAAACTCTACAATCAGCCCGATCTGACTGCTTTTCTACCCCTGGTGTTAGGGAAATATTGCAGTGGCGCTAGTCTACGAGACGGTAATGGTGTGATACAAATGATGTGAAATAGTAAATCATAGGGACTGTGATGGTAATGGTGTAATGAAAATGTGAACTTGTAAATCATAGGGACTGTGGTGGTAATGGTGTGATGAAAATGATGTGAACTAGTAAATCGTAGGGACTATGATGGTAATGGTGTGATGAAAATGATGTGAACTAGTAAATCGTAGGGACTGTTTGTTTATTTTGGCAGATAGATTGGAAATCAAGACTGTAAACCCTGATTACTGTATCATACATCAAAATCAAACCAGCAGCGTTTGCTTTGAAAATGCGTAAAACACGGCTTTAAAATGTATGCGGCATCTCTTTATAAAACACTAACAAATTATTATCATCTGCTAATTACAATCGACACAGTAATGGCGATAAACCAGCTGTATTCATGAGAAAGGTTGGATTTTATTTTTTTGTTCTCTCTAATATCTTGGCAGTTTTTAAATAAGCATAATAACTCAGCAGACACGACATATCGACATTTTGCTTATAGGCAATTATTAGTTGGGAAGCTTTAGTTTTAGTTAGTGTCGTTAGAGTGATAGACATTATATGTGTAGTTTAGAACTTTTAGATTAAGGCTACCAGTACATGCTGTGTATTGTATTGTTGTCTGCAAGCGATTTACTAAACGCATAGAGCTTTTCTAATATCTGATGTCATTTCGTGTATGTACATGTGAAGAATGATTTTTGGAAAACTTTTTTTTTTAATTCTTAGATTAAATATTTATTAATTAAGTACTAAAGTATGAATAGGTAACAGTTACTTCCCATTTACATAAATAAAACAAATAAGAAAAGTAATCTATATTGTTGTTATTTATAATTTTTAAATTGTATTTTAATAATGATTGGAAAAATGCGGATGGACTTTTCCTAAATTGTTTAACACGTTGGTGTACATCTTTAAAAGAATGTAATATTTTATATTTTATAATATTTACATATAACATCCTACACCTTAATTACAAAACAAAAACCTTCAAATACTGTAATATTTATTGTGAAGAATTACAAATTTTCAACTTAATCGATGCTTTAACGTTTAGGAAGAAGTGGAATATTTCTATCTTATAAAAACCAAAAGTTAAAAAAAAATATTAAAGGCCAAAACCATCGAGCTCTACACTAGAACTTGTTTATCAGCCATCATTTATTTAATGTCAGTTGGTGACCTAACCATCGCAGCTTCTAGAATCTGCTAGAGTTTAGATATATCCAGTTGCTTAAAAAATTACCATGGCAGAAGCAGTTTCCCAGCACTTTGAAAATTTTAAATCACGTCTTGATAAAGTTTTGCACGAAAAAAACAAACTCAACGATTTCTTAGAAAAAATTGAGCAGAAAACAGGAGTAAGAAGATTGTACATCGCACTTGGATTTATTGCAATTATTGTGCTATGGCTAATGGTTGGATATGGCTCTCAGTTTCTCTGTAACTTCATTGGATTTATTTATCCAGCCTACGCATCTGTTAAAGCAATAGAAGGTCACGACAAGGAAGATGATACAAAGTGGTTGACCTATTGGGTTGTCTACAGTGTATTCAGCCTTGTTGAGTTTTTCTCAGACATTTTTCTCTTTTGGATTCCATTTTATTGGCTTTTGAAGTGCATATTTTTGGTCTGGTGCTTTTTGCCAGTACAGTGGAATGGTTCTCATACACTCTACTATAGATTCATCCGCCCCTTTATTTTGCGCCACCAAGATCGCATTGATACTGCTCTTGACAAAGCAAAGGAGGCTGTTTCAGAAGCTAAAGAATTAGCAGGGGACATGGCAAAAGATGAAGCTTTTCGTCGACTTGCAAACAGTGGAAAGAATGACTAAATCAGTGCTGAGTATTGCACTTACAGGTGCACTGTCTTGCATTCAGAGATGTTTTGCTCAGTTTTGAAACTGACTTAGTTACTTTGAAATCTATGACCACCCAAACAGAATCTTCTAGTACACCCTTACAACTTCTTGCTTTGGTTTTATTACATGTCCATTTGTCATAAACATCTAACAAATCTAACAGTGAATTTGGTGGATTTAACATAAAAAAATGAAAGTGAATTAAGATATGTTTGACAGTTCCAAACAGATGTGTAACTTTTATAAGATTTTATTTTGAACTAAACTTGATTAATAGCTTAGTATTTAATTCATTAAGCTCATATTGAAGAGACCACTTGCATTTTGCTCAATTAAAAATGACATAATTACACATTTTGCTGATGGATAATCAGTTATCTATATAACGCTATGTAAAACCCTTTTCACAGTTCCTATCTAGCTTTGCACAGTATTCGTTTCCTTTTTGTATTGACTGGATACCATAAGCTTCATGTTGGTTAATTAGATATTTACCTTTACTTCCTCTAAAGCACTTTATCAAATTATTTTCTAGTTCTTAACCCAGTGCTAACTATTGCTTTAAGTGTTTGTTTGCCCCCCCCAGGCTCCCCAAAGATTGAGTGCAATTTATTATAGATGTATCTGCAAAATCAAATTGCTTTTTGACATGTGTTGGGGAAAACATTTTTTTCATCTTGTAAAAATGATCTCTACATATTCTAGTCTTTTTTTTCTCATTGTTTTACTGAATATTCAGACCATTATTGATTGTACCAAGAAAACTGTTACTTTATCAACACCTATATAATGCATCTAACACTGAAAAATAAGGAAACACATTTATTTTCTGAATTGCCTAACTTTAAAAAATTAAAGATTTTATTTTTATCTATAGAAGTTACAAGAATAAAATAATGCATTTTTATTTTTACAGATATAAGCAGAGATTTTCCATTTTTATGAATGACACTATTGACATATTATGAGCTAGTATAAAAAATTGCTTTATTTATTATGATGCATATTTTTTGTAAAATAAATTCAAGATAGCTGTTTCCAATCAATAATAAATTGCTGTTAGTTATTTGTTTAATCAGTCTTTTTTATGTCACTCATCTGTGCAATATAGATCATGTACACCAGCATTTAGTTTTGACTAACCTGTTTATGCTAGAAATTCCTTGATACATATAAGCTGTTTACATTTGCTTACTCACTGTACAACTATTGCCATATTTTTTTCTATTTTTGGTTTGGGTAAATTCAATTTAATTTAAGAATGTATGGGTTTTTGTTTTACATTTTTTTTTAACTACTCTTGGATTATGTGAAATGACTATTTTACTCCGGTGCTGGAAGTCTCCTTAGTGTTGCTGAAGCCTGAACTGAAATCTGGAAACAGATTTCTTCTTCCAATTACTAGACATGACTTAGATCCATAATTCATTTATCTTAAAAATCATTTATTAATATAAACATTTAAACCTTAGCTATGTTATTTAACAAACAGAATTGGTCCAGATTTCCCCACCTTTTAAAAGTAAATAATTTTGGTTACACTATTTTAAATGGTTGTGGTAGTGCTTTGCTTAAAGGCATCAATAACTTTTTTAATCTCTTAAGATTAAAACCATAAAACATTTAAAAGTATGTCATTGCTAGACAATTGATAGGGAGATTTTTTATTCCAGTATCATTGTCTTAGTTTGGCTTAGAAAATGCGCTTTCTTTGTACAATTGACATAAAAGCCTGTTGTATTTAAATTTATATAACTGTTCTTTGTTGTCTTAATATTGAGCAGATAAGCAACTGCTGTCAGAAAGAAATAAAAGCTACCACAACACAATGATTTATTTTTTATTTAAAAAAAATTCCTTATTGTTATTTGTTTTACATTCTCAGGATGTTATATTTTTGTTAACTTTAATTTACCAACACACTGTTATTTTGACTACATAGTTTTTTTTAAAGTGTGTGTGTGCATGCTTTCAACTTGAAAATGTAGACTTCCTAATGTCTAAATGTTTTTTAGACTAATAAAGCTTACATAAAGATTAAAAAAAAAAAAAAAAAAAAAAAAAAAAAAAAAAAAAAAAAAAAAAATTATAAAAACCAAAAACAATCTAATGTGGAAAATAATAATTTCATCAAGAAATTTCAACTATTGCAAATAAAAAAATAATAGAAATAAGAACGCATATTCACCTAATACCCTCATTACTACCATCATGTGCAATATGTTTCCTAGTCCAAGATATAACCACTTTATTAATTATATTTTTATTATTAACTGTAACAATGTGTATTATTGTGTAGTGCAGGGGTTCCCAACCTTTTTTACTCTAGAGCACACCCTAAAATATCGGTAGGGTAGCGGGCACCACCTATTTTAAATCGACAAACTCCTTCCAGAGGCGTAGCGACCCTTCCCGGGGACAAAACTTTTGATTTGCACCCCCCCCCCCCTAAAATTTCGATTTGCACCCCCCCCCCCCTTCAAACTTTTGATTTCCATCCCCTTCAACCTTTCAATAATGTTTATGAAAAAAATTCTGTCTCTGTCGAATAGTGAGAGGCGGGCACGTACGAATCGTTCGGCGGGCGCCATGGCGCCCGCGGGCACAGGGCTGGGAACCCCTGGTGTAGTGTGTTTTGTGTGAATCATGTTTGACAGTTGAACACCTGGCCAACGTAAGTGAATGTGTGATCGATCAATCATTGCATTTCATGCGTTTTGGATATCGCTTACTGTCCTAGAGTGAAATAATATAGACGAGATATGTGTGGTTTTAGGGCGAGACTTATAGACGAGATATGTGTGGTTTTAGGGCGAGACTTATAGACGAGATATGTGTGGTTTTAGGGCGAGACCTATAGACGAGATATGTGTGGTTTTAGGGCGAGACTTATAGACGAGATATGTGTGGTTTTAGGGCGAGACTTATAGACGAGATATGTGTGGTTTTAGGGCGAGACTTATAGACGAGATATGTGTGGTTTTAGGGCGAGACTTATAGACGAGATATGTGTGCTTTTATGGCAAGACATATAGACAAGATATGTGTGTTTTTATGGTGAGACATAGGAAACACATTCATTTTTTAATTATGGATAATAATGTTTGATGACAGTGGATGTGAACTTCATAATTGGAATGCAGTGATCATCTATTGGCTAGTTTTGTAGTTATTTGGGTGACATACTTGTGTGGTCAACTTTAAGGGTAAAGTTGATCTATTAATGAGATACCGAACTCAGTTGGGTCATAGTTAAGTAACAAGCGTATGTTTTGTTTTTAAAGTTTAAAATGAAATTTTAAAAATTTATTTCGAACTTGCAAAAATGTTTATGCATGTGTATTGCAAATTAATGAAAGAGGGGTTAGAATCAGAAGATGGTATGGGTCACCTAAAAACGACATTACAATTCTCATCGAGTAGATGCGGTTTGATTTCGTTGACGAATGGGGGAGGGGGGAGGGGGGAAGAGGGAGACAAAAGTTTTGTATTTTTAAACTTTCGGAACTGAATGTCTGCCATAGCTTCGCTTATTTAGATACTGGTTTTATAATTTGTAATAGTAAGGGATTCACATATGCAATAATGACTGAGCATCATACATATGTGTAATCACAACACTGGCCTGTTGTAGGCAGAGTTTCTTCCAGGCATGTCTTTGGGGGGGGGGGGGGAGGGGAGGGGGAAGATGGAGAGGGGGCTCAGCACTTAAATCAATGTTCGAGCATGTGAGGGCTGTGTGTTTGGTTTAAATAGATTATCAAGTAAAAGAGCTGAAAGTTGTTTAGAGTTGGATCAGTGTTGCTCGTGTAAGAAATAGCTGTTTGTTATTGTTTATAGAATAAGGGGGGGGGGGGGGTTAACGTATACATTTTCGGTTGTCTGTGTGATGATCGACAAATGAATGATTGAATAATAAAATGCCGATGGTAGCTATTATATTTTTATTTTTTCCCACTCTTTAGTTCATCATCAACACTTCTTGTTAGTCTTACATTTTGTCAGCAATAAAGAGTTGAGCGTAGGCGTAGCCTCTCAATATGTAAGATGCACATACATTAATCAAACAGAGATAAATTATTTTTGCTCACGTAGTGGCACATTTCATACTCTCGTTAAAACAAAACGATCATACTTTAGCTAATTATGTATTCAATGACTCAAGAGGATGAACAGTAAGGGGAAATAACTATTCATTTTAATACCAATCCACATACGTTTTAAATTATTTCTTAAAACGTAAATTAGATCAACACATAATTTTAAAATTCGAATTGTGGTAACATTTTACAATTATATATTAAGAATCATTTCGTCTGCAATCAAATTTAAACATATTTTAAAAATAAATGCTAAAACAACGAAGCAATAAAAAACACAAAGAATATTAATGTTATACACGCGTGTCTTTCAGAATCTATGATTAAGACCTCTTTTATAGTTTAATTATTCCGCCATAGTATATCATACATAAAGCGGATCGTAAACAACATACAACAACATCTTCTCTCAAATTGTGACATATTTAAACTCGTGTGTATTTCCATTTGGAACATTGTGTGTGTGTTATTTTTTTTTCTTCACATTTTATACATTGTAAGTACTTTTTTCTTTTTTATTTCTTGTGTGTGTTGCTTGGCCCCGGGTGGGCCTCACGCACAACTATGTCGGAAAAAATACATCAAACGGTTATTCCTGCCTAAGTTCGGCATGGCAGGACATGCGCCAAAAACTCTAGAGATTTTCATAGAAGAGGGGTTTTCTTTAGCTACTCTCACAGCTGACGAACTAAAAAGAGAGCTATGTATGTTATGTAGCCTATCACCAGCTGAATTTGAAGGTCTGTATAACTATGGGACACTGCGTAAATGGTATGTCACCATTAGATCAAAGGAACTATATGAGAAAATGCACTTAAAAGAATTTCACAGAGATTTGCCACCTGGAGTAACATCCAGATACAGAGTGCAGAGAATATCAATAACCCACGCCGATAAATCTGGGCAAAGGGGCATGCTGAAATGGCTGCCTTCCAAGACAAGTGACGATGATATAATGGCGATTCTGAAATCTATAAGCAGTCATGACTCAACACCAACATTGAAAAGAATAGACCAATCAAATGTGGTCCAATTCACCATCTCTCTGGAGAAAGAAGATGTGGAGAGTGTCCCACACTATATTATACTCACAAATGAGGCCAACAAGGAGAGCAGAGTCCTTATAATCCTCAATGGGAGGAGGATGCAATGTTGCCACTGCAACACAGACAGGCACCTGCCTAAAATGTGTGAGCATTTGAGGACTCGCGCTCTTGACGGCGTCTAGCTAGTAGATGGACAGTACAGGGCAATTGAGCCTTGGGATGCAAATGATAAAGAAGAAGTTAAGGAGCATCTAAGTAACAATAGAAATTTCTTAAAGCATTGGGACAGTTATGATGTTGACGGAGAAAGACAAAATGAAATGCTTAGAGAAGCAAGGCACAGAGAGGTACAAGATGCCTTTGAAGTAGATGGCCAACTG